AACTCCCTGAACTCCACTAAGGATTTGGTAGCTATGCCATTTGGCGCATATATGTTTAATAATGATATCACTTCATTGTCTATGGTGCCTTTTAGCAGGATGTAGTTTCCTTCCTTATCTCTTTTGATAAGATTTTTGCTTTTCTTTATCTGAGATCAGGATTGCTACCCCTGCTTTTTCACTTCAGCTGAAGCATAATATATTCTGCTCCAGTCTTTTACCTTTATCCTGTGGGTGTCACTCTTTTTCAAACAACATATTGTGGGATTATGGTTTTTAATCCATTCTGCTATCTGCTTCCATTTTATGGGAGAGTTCATCCCATTCACAGTTATGATTACTATCTGTGTCTTTCTCTCCATCCTTTCCCCCCCTTGTTTATGCTTTTCTTTCTCCTTGTCCCACCTCACTAGTGTTTTGCTTTTGACCATTTTTAAAATGCAAATGTCATATAAAACACTATCTTAAAAATGAAATTTGGTGATGCTATATTTTATAATTATCTGATAGTTATGGAAAGAAGAAAATTGTTAGGATTTACCTGTTACCGTCTCATATAGAAAGATATTATGACATAGGATCAAACAAGAAAATCCTAATACTTCAGGAATTGAGGAACTTGAAAGTCATACAAATAAATTTTCTCAAGTCATTTAAAAAATAAAGATATTTAAATACATATTTTATAAATGCTAAGTAATCTTTTGTGATAAGGCTAATTAGTAACTTGTGTGATTATTTAAGTTACAAGCTGACTTACCCCCCCTCCTTTTTTTTCACCCCATGGAATGGTATTTTTACTTGAAAGAATGACTGTGGTTATTCAGACAGGTATTTGGCTGACATTTTCTTGAAAATGAAGTGAGCCTATCATTTCCTAGAAAAACAACTGACAGTTATCTGTTGCCAGTGATGAAATTTGAGCTTTCAGGTTAAAATTAGAATTTTGGAAGACTTGCATTTGCTACCATGAGCTTGACAGCTTCCCAATACTTGGCAAACTTTTACAATGAGATCCATGGTGACACAAAGCAATGTGTGTGGTTTTTTTTTTAATATTGTATAATGAAATATGTTGACATTTGGAATATCAGAGTAACTAAGCTAACCAATATTTTCCATTTGACCAATACATGATGTTAAAATCATGCATGGATAAAAGATCCATTCAAAGTGCAAGACAGACCAGTAGATTTTAAGGTAACATAGTACAAAAAAATTGTTGATATGGTATTAAATTCCACATTGCAACTAAGCTTTAAGAAACCACTATTTGTTGAGTCTTAGTGTAAGATCAAAGAATATTCATAATGATCTGAAAAGGCTATTAAAATACTCCTCCCCTTTCCAAATATGTATCTGAGGCTAGATTTTCTTTATATATGTCCACCAAAACAATATACCCCCAAAAATGCAGAAACAGGAGAAAACGGCTATCATCAATTAAGCTAGAAATTAGAGAGATTTGCAAAAACTTGTAAAACAATGTCACTGTTCTCATTTTTTGTTTTGGAAAACATAGTTATTTTTCATAAAACTGGTATTTGTTAACAAGTAATAGTTTTATTACTGTTCTTTTGAAATGAATTAATAACTATTTAAAAATTTATCAGTTGTAATTTCTACCACAGTAAATATTGATAGATATAACACAGATAAACAAAGGGTCTTTGGGCCTCTCAGTAATTTTTTAGAGTGTAAAAGGGTCCTGACACCAAAATATTTGAAAATCACTAGACTAAGATAGCATATTTCCCATCCTTGGAGATATTCAAATATAGGCAGGATGCGCATTTTTCAGTGATGTTGTAGGGGGGAATTCAAATATAACAGATTTAATCAGGGTATTCTCCATCTCCCCCATCAGTAGGGTGTGTCTCATGAAGCATCCCTGGATCTAAGCCCCTCCTTGTGCCACACTTGGAGTGGGGGGGCCCCTTTTCTTGACACATTTGTCCTGGTCCTTTTTGGTGGGCCATGTGCTGGTCCAGTGCAGAAGGGTTTGGCATTTTGTAATAATACAGCAAAACCTTATTGGATTTAGGAAGACCTGAGTTCAAATTCTGAGTCAGACACTCAGCTGTGTGACCCTGGGCAAATGACTTAATCTTTCACGGACTCAGTTTTCTCACCTGTAAAGTAGGGATGATAATAGGACCTACCTCATAGGTTTGTTATAAGACTCAAGTTTGATAATAGGGGTAAAGTGCTTTGCAAATCTTCGATCACTTTACAGATTTTTGTTGGAATAGTCACCCCCTTGGTCTACTATGAAAACCTTGCTTCTTTGCATTTTTTTCTTTTCTTGTTCTTGTTTCCCCTTGTATTTCCAGACCCCAGGGCAGGAAGTCAGGGGGGCTACTAGAAGAGAAAAAGGAGAAAATGTCAACTTGCAGAAACAACGCATGACAAATGACCTGGGTTTGCCCAGGTGAGCCAGAGAAAGGAGCTTCCAAATCCTGGCTACCACTTTTGCCTTTCTGTTACCTTGCTGTTTCCATCTTTGGGGTAATGCTGAGTTGAAAAGTTAATAATTTTGAGAGTTCCTGTGTTTGAGTCAAGAAGTGCCAGAGGGATATTTCCTTCTTGTTTACTTTTCAGGGAAGATTCTCCATCAAAGATTGCCCCTCATGTTGCCTTAAACCCAAATCACTCTGGTTTTCAGTGATTGGCTAGGCCAAGCTCCACTGGGTAATTGCTTGGGCCCCATTTGGCTCACAGTGAATGTAAACAGCAGTTTCTGCTTTGGCCAGAAACCCTGAGGGTCTTCCCCTCCCAGACTGATTTTTTTTTTTAACTAGGTAAAGAGGCCATTTTCTGCCTTATTTCTTGATTAAGCCTTAATCACTGAATGGGTATTGCCTCAATTAACTTGAGACCTATTAATGACCTTAGCTTGAAAAGACCAAGGTCCCCCACTACATCCTGGACCATCTCCAGTTGTCTTGATCAATGTCTGGCCACTGGACCCAGATGACTCTGGAGGAGAGAGTGAGGCTGGTGACTTTGCACAGCCCTCCCTCACTTAAATCCCATTCACTTGCTTGTCATGGCATCACCTCCTTGATGTCATGGTCCTCTTTGAGAACAAAGGACAAACAACAACAATCACCTTTCCTTAAATCACCGAATGGGCACCACCTCAGTCAAACTGAGACCTGTTAAAGACCTGAGCTTGAAAAGGCCAAGGTCCCCCACTGCATCCTGGACCATCTCCAGTTGCCTTGATCCACATCCCACCGCTGGACCCAGATGGTTCTGGGGGAGAAAGTGAGGATGGTGATTTTGCACAGCCCTCCCTCATTCAAATCCAATTCACTTGCATGTCATGATGTTATGATCCTCTTTGAGAATGAAGAACAACAATTACAACCTCCATGTCACGAGTAGCTAAAAATCTGGATTTTGACAACTCATAATATTGCTATGACTTCCTTAGACAACGACAGAAGAAAGTGAATGGAAATCTGTATTTATTAGTTCCTTATAGTTTCTTTACTTTGGAAGGAGTCATTGAATTAACTAGCTTTTATTAAGCACCTGTTGTGTTCCAGTCTATGTGCTAAGTACTGAGGATACAAAGTAAAGTAAAAAACACTCTAAGTATGCTCTCAAAGAGCTCACAGTCTAAAGGGGATACAACATGCAAACAACTACGAACAAACAGGATATAAACAGATAAGCTGGGGATGGCCTCAGAGGGAAGACATTAAGATTAAGGACTCGGAAAGGCTTCTTGCAGAAGGTGGGACTTGAGCTGGGTTTTGAAGGAAGCCAGGAAGTCAGGAGTTAGAGATGAGAAGTGAGAGTTCCAGGCATGGTGAACAGGTAGTAAAAATGTTTGGATTTGGGGGATGGAGTTTCATGTGGGAGGAACAGCAAAGAGGCCAGCTTCACTGGATCTCAGAGTATATACAAAGGACTAAGGTATAAGACTGGAAAGATAGGAGGGACTGGATTATTGAGTGTCATAGCCAGAGGACTGATCCTGGAGTCAACAGAGCACGTAACATAGAGTCAGGAAGACCTAAATTCAAATTTGACCTCAGATACTTACTAGCTGTTCCATCCCAGGCAAGTCACTTGAGCCTGTTTGCTCAGTTTCTTCACGTATAAAATGAGCTTAAGAAGGAAATGGCAAACCACTCCAGTATCTTTGCTAAGAAAATCCCAAGTAGGGTCAGGAAGAGTCAGACATGACTGAAGAACAAAAATAGTGAGTCATTAGAGCTGATTAAATATGTGTGTGTGTGTGAGAAAGCGAGAGAGAGAGAGAGAGAGAGAGAGAGAGAGAGAGAGGGAGAGAGAGAGAGAGAGAGGAGAGAGAGAGAAAAAGAGAGAAAGAGAGAGAGGAGAGAGAGAGAGAGACGGAGGGAGGAGGGAGGGAGGAGAGAGGGAGAGAGAGAGAGAGAGAGAGAGAGAGAGAGAGAGAGAGAGAGAGAGAGACAGAGAGAGAGAGAGAGAGAGAGACAGAGACAGAGAGAGACAGAGAGAGACAAATAGTCAGACTTGTGCTCTGGGATATCAATTTGACAGATGAGTGGAAGACTGATTGGAGTCAGGAGAGACTTGAGGAATGGAGAACAAGCAGAAGGCTATTACAATAAATGGGGCAAGAGATAAGAGTCTAGTAAGCTACTGAGTCTTTGTGGGCACCTATGAGTCCTTTGCATCTTAAGCATTTTCTGGGTGGAATAATACATGTTTCATAAATAATACTCCTACTGCACTGTGAGTACCTTTGGAAAAAAGGATGTTAACTACAGTTGGGTAACTACACAGGAGCCATATCTAAGCTGTCTTAAGAGATTCGGGGGGACTTTTATCCTAAGGTAAGGCAACAAGCCAAAGAGAGAAACCCATACTTCGGGATTAGGGCTCCAGCATTATTCTCATACTGACTTATGTGTTAACTCAGAAGCATTTTGTGGGGGGGGGGCCTCTGAACCACAGGTGACACACCAGCAGAGTGAGCACTTCACATTCAAAATTCTGATTACTAGTCTCTTACAGGAAAGATTCTTTTTCATCTCTCTGTGACCAATGAGTCATAACAATTAACCATAGTCTGTTTACATTTTAGTTTCTTTTCCATTTACATTGCTACAGTTACGATATCCTCTTAGTCTTGCTGTGTGTACTCTTTTGGTTTCACTTAGCACATTCAAGTCTTTCCATGTATCTCTGCCTTCCTAATTGTTTCTTACAGTGAAACACTATTTCGTGGCAACGGGAGGGCAGAGCCAAAACGCCAAAACCTCAGTTTAAGGAAGGGGTCCAGACCAGCCATCTCCTGGTTTTCACCAGCTGCAGCTAGGTGGCCCAGTGAATAGAAAACTGGGCCTGGAGTCAGAAGGACCCCAGTTCAAGTCCAGTCTTGGACGTTTCCTAGCTCTGTCACGTCACTTGACTGCCTCAGTTTCTTCATCTGTAAAATGGGGTTAATAACAGCCCCTCCTTCCCTCAGCTGTTGTGAGGAGAGCATTTGTAAAGCACAGTTCCTGGTGGTGGTAGGATCGTATTTACGGACAGAATTCAGTCATTCCCCCACAGATGGGCACTCACGTCGCTTCCATTTTGCTGTCTCTTCCTGTCAGAATTTACGTCCTAGGAAGTCCTCCCGCCACACCCCACCTCTCAGCACCGTGCTGGGCACACGGGAAGCCTTTAAAAAGCAGTTTCTTCCGTTCCTTCGCGCTTTTTCCTTCCTTTGTCTCAGAACAATAGGGCTGCGAAGTCCAGAGAAAAGTGTGTTGGGCCCCACCCATCCCCCCTCCCTCAACATGCCCCCCCAACATCCCTCTCCCCCCAACCCCGCCTCCCCACACACAAGCAGACCACCAGCGCCGGGGCAGGGAGGGGCGAGCCCACCTGGGTCCCGCCCCGGCCCCTCCCCAGCAGGGACCCGGAGGGGCTGCGACGTCAGAAGGCGCGCCTAGGAGCGGCTCGTGATCTCATGCTTTCGGCCAGACCGCGACCCGTGCCCTCCTTCCCACCGGTCCCGGGAAACTCCACGCCACCGCCCACGCGCCCACACGCCCACGCGGGGATGCCGGCTTTCGGGGAAACCAATCGGAACGAGGTCAGGGCAGCGCCGCGTCCGTGGCGTCAGCGCCCGTCAGCGCGATGACGCAGCACGCCGTCAGCCGGGGCGGGGCCGGGCTCCGAGGAGGGAGGGCTAGCCAGCGCGGAGGCGGGGCCGACGAGAGGGCGAGCTAGAGCAGCGGCGGTGGGCTGCGGCGGGGAGGAGGGTCGAGGCCCAGGGCCCTACGGATCGCCGCCGGGCTCAGCCGGCCGAACAAAGGGCCCGCCGGGAGCAGCTGACCGCCGCGCGCGTTCCCCGCTTTCCGTGACGGCGCAGGCGACCGGCCGCCGGAGCCTTCCCGGGGGTCGGTGCGAGGAGCCCCGGCCGCCGCCGCCCTCCGCGAGCCTCAGTCCGGCCCCGGCCCGCGCCGCTCCCGGGGGTGGGAGCCCCGGCGGCTCCTCGTCCTCCAGCGCCGCGGCACCTGCGGAGGGTCCCGCAGCGGGCCGGGCTCGCGTGATGGGGCTGCTCTTCGCCAAGCTGTGGAGCCTCTTCTGTAACCAAGGTGAGCGGGGGTCGGGGTCGGGTGGGGGTGGGGGGAGAGCAGGGGAGTGCCCCGTCACGGGCTCCCCGAGACCCCCGGGTTCGCGTCGGGTCTGCCGAGTGATCCCGGGGGAGGGCGGCGGGCCCTCCCCGAGCCCGCGCTCCGAGCTCCGCCCGGGAGCCCCACCTGGCCGCGCCGAGGCTCGCCGGGCCGCTCTTGTTCCGGAGCCGGAGCCGCCGCCGCCGCCGCCGCCTTCGTCCGCTCGTCCTCCTCCTCGGCCCGGGCGGCTTCCCCGACAGTCCCCGGGGGGACGCTGCCCGGCATCTCGCGGGCCCAGTCGGCCACACGCCTCGAGGTGCGGAGGTCCCAGATCCGCATCCCGTCGCTCCCCATCCTTGGTCACTAAGGCGAGCGCTATCAGCTCTGGGTAGAGCGATTACGTGTCACCAATTGGAGGGAGGAAAGCCGGCTCCTGGAACGCCGCGGAGCGGCTGCCCAGAGACAAGCAGAGGTAAAACCCGTCCTGACTCCGCGGCGCAGACGGGATGTTTTCTCGGGATCGGCAGAGAGGGGCAGACGGGCGCGGAAAGCCGACTTTCCCTTCTGCGTGCGGCTTAAACGTCGCGGGGCTCCTTCCTCGTTTGGGACCTGAACAAGTGCTCCTAGCGCTGTTCACTTGATCACCATTGCCAGGGCTTGGCCTGTACAGATAGACTGTTGTAGCTCGGATTTTTGTGACTGCTGTATTAAGATAAAAAGCTTATTTTCGTAGTTAAAGTATTTGATAAATTTTGTACACTTTGTGTTTGAAGTGTTTTCAAAATGAGAATCGAGGCACAGTGAGTTTAGCGCACTTAGGAGAAAACCATAAGAATAAATACCCGTTGGTGGATTGAATAATGCTTTTAGCCAAATCTTTTTTTTTTGGTGGTTATATTTTCAGTCTTAGTTTTATGAGTTTACATTTGTACAAAGTATCATTTCTTCTTATTTGATACTTTCATGCTTCCAGGAATTTCTTCTGGAATGAGAATTCCAGAATTTGGTGAACGATCTCTCTGTTCTTTCCTATCCAGAATCTATATTATAATCAATCTCTCTCTCTCTCTCTCTCTCTCTCTCTCTCTCTCTCTCTCTCTGTGTAAATATATATATATATAATATATATATATATATATATATTATAAAATTTTTCTTCAGTCTTCATCTTTACAGGCTGAGGTCTTAACTTCTCATCTAGTCCCATATGAAATAATTCTATGTCACCTTGACTAATTTTAGTAAGTTTGAGCTCAGCATTTCTGGGTCACTTTTACCATTTTTCAGGTGCCACAAACCAAGACTACCTCGATTATTCCAGGTTTATGTCCACTGTGGTTTTGTACAAGGATCAGAATTATCTTATCTCTCAAATGAAGGGGTTGGATGAGAAGTTACCTCAGAAGCCCTTTCCAGATTTACGTCTGTGACCTATGACTATTACTTTTCTTGATGAAATGTCCAGCATTTTGCCAACTGCAAATGGACTAGAATAATATCTTAAGGGATAGTGTGATAATTAGTAGGACTAAATGCCACTGTGGAATTCATTCTTTAAGTATTGTTTGGATACTTTGTCCCTACATACTACATTCATTGATCTGTGGCTCTGGATAAATCATTTAACCTCAGTGAGACTCAGTCTTCTCATCTGTAAATTTTATTGTAATTGTACTTTCTTCCTCAAGGGAACTTTTAAGGAAAGTACTAAAAATTAAATCACTGTATGAATGTGAATTGTTCTTATTGCTATGTTTAGAAAATCTGCAACCTCAGTAGCATAGTGGAAATTGAAAGAAATCATCCCAGTAGCCTTTTGAGTTGCAGAACAGGGAGGGACTGAGTGCAAAGAAGTTGTAATGACTCTGGATTGAGGGAACGAAGGTCTAGATAAAGAAAACTATAGAAATTCCAGAGGATTTATTGATTATTGACTTTGTACTCACCATTTTAGAGGCTACAAATGAAGTATAAGGCATCCATACCTTTCAAGGAGTTTACACTTTTATTTGAGGAGACAAGACATGAAATAGAGAAAAACAGTGCCCAGATCTGCACTTAACTGTACATTTGGTAAGAGGGAAATAGTAGTGTAACATAGAGTACTCAGAGAAAGCTCCATGAAGGTGAGATCTGTCTTAAACTTGGCCTCCCAGGTTGGATAGGATTTGGATGAACAGATTGGAGAAAGGCATTTTAAGTGGTAGGAAAGCACAGAGCAAATGCTCAGAGGTGGGACTAGTGTGCACCAGTGATGTCAGATTAAAATAGAAGTCTGTGGTCTGCATGTTGCCTTAGAAAACCACAAATTAATATTATGTTGTATTGAAGTTTTGTTTATTTTGCTAAACATTTCCCAGTTACCTTTTAACTTAGTTTAGGCTGCTTACGGGAATTGTGGCCTGCAGATTTGTCACCTCTGGTATATAGTATCAGCACAGTGAGAGACCAATGTGAGACTCAGATCTTTCCTTAGCCTTTATTTTAGAATGACAGCACAACAATGCATAGTCTCATTTGAGAAGGATTGAAGTATGTACTGTCTGTTGAAAGCCCCAAGAAGGATTTTGTAGGCTTTGCCTCATACCAAAGAGCTGTGTGTGCATGCTGGTAGGAATAAACTGTACTATTAAGCATGTTTGAAAAAGTGCCCATCATCAAGAGTTACCATCTCTATTTTCTCAGAAGAATGTTTTTTTCTCTCCCCTGGGGATGTCAGAGTTGTGGTTGCACATCTCTGCCTCTTGCTGCTACTGTCATTTGCAGTATAGATTTAGAGGATGATCCCTGTTATCCCTGAAATTGTTCCAGTTGCCTGAGGTATTGAAGGGCTACTGCTGTGTTTCCCATGGTTTGCCCAGTGAAGTGGGAATAAGCTTTAACCTCTAGTAGAGTAGATCTAACCTTTGCAAAAAATGAAGAGATTCTTAAATGACAGCTTTTACTCCCCTGGCTCCCCCAGCAAAAATGGTATCTCTTTTGTTCTTCATTCATTTCAGTTGTGTCAGACTCTTTGTGACCCCATTTGGGGTTTTCTTGGCAAAGATACTGGCGTGGTTTGCCAGTTCCTTCTTGAGTTCATTTTACAGATGAGGAAACTGAGGCAAACAGGGCTAAGTGAGTTGCCCAGTGTCACGCTACTAGTAAATGTCTGAGGCTAGATTTGAACTCAGGAAGATGAGTCTTCTTGACTCTATAGGTTCCCAAAGTGGGCGATACACCCCCCCCCCCAAGCTGGAATGATGGGGAGGGGTCGAGCGGTAGTAGCTTCAGATGTAGTTGGGAGGTATTGAATAAAAATAAGGGGTCAGGGGAAACATAAGGAAAGAAAAGATGACAAAATTTTGAAAAACTTCGTGCATGTTTCTTTTGTTATGTAACAGAGTTAAAGTCATAGTGATTACATTATTTTCCAAATAAATACACAAAATGCAAATTAGAACACATCAATGGTGGATTGGTGGTCAAGTCCACCAACAGGTCTTAACAAGAAAGTGTTGGCAGGGAGAGTGTCACACTTTGGCAGGAATATGTGCGTGTAATGACTTGTTTATAATACGATACTATATGGCTACATGATGCAATATTGCATTATCAGAATTTCAATGCAGGAAAAACCCCACAAATTTACAATAAATTATTAAATTTAAGATGTGTCATTTAAAAAAATACGGTTTTTTTAATGATGCAAATTTTTTAAAAAAGCTGTTAAAGGGTTAAAGAAAGTACATTTCCTGGGGAACACCAAGTAATTGCGTTCTCCCTCCCCCCCCAAAAAAAGGGGAGACTGTAGGCCAAATTAGTTAGGGAGCCTCTTCTCTCTCTGCCTGTACTCTATCCACTGCGCCACCTGGCGCCCATAGTATCTCCAGCAGGGTGTTATGAATGGCTACTATGACATGGAGAGCCTCTTTTAAGCCAAGCCCTTTCTCTTAATGCCTCCACCTATGGATTTTTCCTATTAATCCCTGTTTATTTTAGTTTCTTTTTAAACTCTTTCAGTATTTCTCAACAGTCAGTTACTCCATTTAGAGCTGACATCAAGAGATAACTGTTTGATAATCCTGGAAATAACTAATCCTAAAACTTTTTGGTATCCTTTATTTTTTATGAGTGGTAGGTTTTGACTTGATGAATATCTGTTTTGACAATCATGACATAGATTACTATGTATGTATTTTTTTTTAATTCACTCAGTAGAGTGGAAAGACAAAATATCAGTAGTGGAAAGCTTCAAATGACCAGGGTTCAAGTCCAATTTTACCACTAACTTTAACTTTTGACACTACTAGTGGTATGGACCTGGACAAGTCACTTAACAGCTCTGAGCCTCAGTTTCTTCATCAGAAAAATAAACTTCCTCCTTTATAACCTTTCAAAGAAAGTGCTTTGGAAATTGTAAATCAATATAAAATGTGAGCCTTAGTATTACTATTTCAGTAATGGACATAGCAAATTATATTTGAAAACTAGCAACTGAAACATTTAGCTAGAAAATAAATAATGTCTGATAATTGCCTGTGATAGACTGTTTCATTCCTTAGGATATCTCTTTTCACTTGAATATCTTGTTTATTGCTATTTTTCTTAATGTTTTATTCTTAATTTAATATTGGTGTCTTTATACTATTCTTATGCCTTCTCTTCCTGACTGTATTTCTCTTATGTATTTGTATTTGATACTGCTTCTAGAGTTTTTTTTGCCTTCTAATTTTGATGGATGAGATATTGGAGATTGGATGGGCCAAGGGAGAGGTAATATTTTGACTTATCTATCAGACCAACAATATAAATGAATCAAGTCAACAAACTATTAAGTGGTTACTATTGGTAAGGCTTGTTCTGGTACTGGTGATATGCTGAGAAAAAAATTAGGTATATCTCTTATTTTAGAGAGAGATTATTGCATGAAAAGGGGACAGAGATAACATTTGTTGATAATATTGTGATACTTTATATGTGTAAATCCATACTACAGTGAA